AGCGAGGACTGACCCCTTATGCAATAGAAGAATTCGTACCAGTCATCTTAAGGAAACTGAAGTATAGTAAAAAATACAGGGCCATGATGCAAGGAATGATCGAAGAACATAAACTCGGACAACCAAGGAAAATCTGGATACCAAAAAGCGCACCATTATCTTTCATTGGAACCATCAGCAAAGTATTATTCGGGATGCTCACCGAAGAAGACGATGCCCAATATTACGAACCACTAGATAAATTATATTCCCACGCTACGAAATTGGTAAAAATCATTGTCAACCAAACTCAAAACGTGCGTTCCGAATACAGGGACATCCATATTCAAATGCAGAATTTAACAACGCAAATTCGACTCCTTTCCGAGAAATCCAAGACAATAGCCGAATCGCTTCAAGAAACCCAGAAAGCCGTTCGAAGATCCCGGTAGAATTTTTGATAAGAAGTTGTATGCAAGCTCTCGACAAATACCAGAGGCACTTGATTGTAATAGTGGTCGCTATTCTCTTCACTAGACAGGAAATATTTTGACACCTGGCGAACTATTTTCGCAATATTCAGAAAAACGGATGCTGTTCCAATTAACTCTACTACTGTTAGACCAAGAAACCTTCAATATCTAGGCTGTCCCAAAAACGTCTCGCATTACGGAAATGAGGGGTAGCTGAGGTCATTCTAAGTAACTTTTTCCTTGAGAAAATGCAATTTGCGGCTTTTTTTGTTCACAAGTTATTAACGAAAAATACTGACCAATGAGAGCAGATGACGCGAACCACAACATAGTCGATGGATCGAGCGCCACGTGCTTCTACCACTGAGTTTGTCGAATGAAGGGGGGCTCTGTGACGCGTTCGAATCAATGAACAAGTCACGGAGCATGAACTTTCGATATTTTTTTTACCACGTGACAATGATCATTTTAAGAAAAACGCTGTTCATCCTTATTTCAGAATGTCTGAAGAATATTTACCAATTTTTCGGACTCGAAATAATAAGTAGTTTAACCGTGCAACCGTTTTAATTTTTTGGTGTGCATGACACCTCGTATGTATCATATGAAATTAGTACACTCCGTGACTTGTTCATTGATTCAAACGCGGCCCAGAGTCCCCCTTCAGCTGTCAAACTCAGTGATAGGAGCACGTGGCGCTCGATTGATCGACCATGCAGTGATTCGCGCCATCACCTCTCATTGGTCAGTGTTTTTCGTTAATAACTCGAAAACAAAGCCGCGGATTGCATTTTGACAAAGAAAAATGTTACTTAGATCGACTTCATCTACCCCACATTTCTGTAATGGGAGACATTTTTGGGACACCCTGTATATAAAATTCATCCCAGCCCATGTGTTCAAAAATTCGGACCAAATCAGGTAACGTTCTATTGTCGGGCACTTCTTTCTACCTTTATATAAAAGCTCCGCAAATTTAACTTGTGAACTGGATTTATTTAAAAACTCCAACCAAAAAATGTGGAACACTTGTTGCGACGTCCAAGTCTCATTGCTTCCTGACGAAGTATGGGAACCACTGGAGTCGAAGCTGACCTGGTTATACTAAACAAAGACTGAGAGGAAGGTCCAGTTTTTTTGCCATGGGCGTTCTGTAGGTACAGATTACATCCACAATGCGGGATTAATTCGTCTAAGAGCAGATTGCATGGCTACTACGGACTCCACCCAGGTACAGGGAATCAACACTATGACCTCAAGACTATGACCTCAACTTAACCTAACTATCACCAGATTTTGGCGCACCTCACATGAGTATTCTTCAAGAAATGGCACACATAACCAAGGTAGCACAGAAAATGGATATGTGACTGCAATCCAACCGTGTTACTTCTTTAACAAATCTTGAGAAGGAAACCCAAAAAAATTCAGAAAGAAGAACAATTTGAGGCATACTCATGTCGGATTAATTTCTGGCGGAAGTCTAACGCTTCTCTTAGTGGGAGGCACAGTGTTTGGAATTTACAAGATAAAACCATTTTCCTTTTAAAGCGGCCGAACCAAAGAAAACGCAACCCCAATCCTCACGGAAAAACTCAACGAGGCCCTCGAACTCAGACTACCGCTTACTCCGTCCTTGGAGAAAAGGATCTACGCTAACCATACTATGGGCATCGTCTAAACTAATGCAAAATAGCCCTGATGGAGGGGGTCTGTCCCCACATAAAAGACCAGTACTTCCGTGATCCTCCTGCATGTCTGTAACCAAAGTGTTCGCTGAAGCATCGACGCAAACAGAGATCCGCGAGAGTTCCTGTCCATACTGGAGGATGTGGAACTTGGATTTGGGAGCAAGAATCTGGAAGAAGGATTTATCTTTCAAAACATTTCGAGGCTGGAGAAGGAAAATCCTGCATATATCAAACTATTCAGACCAGGCGGAAAACTACCAAACACAAAGGAACCCAAATTATTCCGGAGGAAGTGGAATCAAAGAAAAGGGTTGGATCGGCAGTGGAACTAAACGTCTGGGATTTCAACCTAGAAGAAATCACAGATGATAACATTACGAACTGAATGCCGGGAGCCCGTTTAGAGAAGAAATACAGGAGAATTCTGAGGAAACTGGACGCGTTATTTTAAATGTAATAATCTCTAGATAAGAATAAGATAGGAACAAAATAAGGATACTACACACACGCGCGCGCGTGCGCGTACGCGCTTGCAATAATTTGTACTCTGTTCCAGAAATCCGTGTAAGGCGTACTCCCTCAGAAAGAAGTAAAAGCATCATGTAAATGATGTTTCATCTAAAGGAGGAAGTGTAACGTACGGAAAATTCTCCGACGTGTATTTATCTTACTTCCTGAAAGCGTATGCCACGCTGGCGCCAGCCGGCCGGATTTGTTTTGTATATCTCGAGTTAAGTACCTTCGAAGGGATACGATAAAGAACTTTCTGGAATGGGAGCGGGCTAGTTTCAAGGCAACTTCTGACGGAGAAACGTTAGTGATATTGAGTCTGTTTTCTCTTTCAAACATTTCAATCGATTACCGAGCAGCAAAATTCACCGTTCGAGGTCGGTACCTGTACCTAGGCCCTAGTACCTCTCAGAAGTACTGGCCACGAACGATGAATTTCGCGGCACGGTATACACATCTTCAGGTAAAAAATCATAAAATTCTTTAACTAGGTTTCCAGGAGCATAATTGGGATTTTTAGTAATTCTTCAGTTTTCCTCGAGTCAATATCGCAATATATTCCTCGCAAACAGCATTGTATCTTTTCGGTTTTCGTGGAGTGCGGCGAAGATGTGAACGAAACAGTGTGTGCGGAGGTAAAGGGAAGAATCTCCGAAAATCCAAACAATTCGATATGTGAGAAAATTGCAATATAATTTTAATCACGAGGGAGTTGGGGACTGCGGCGACAACGAAACCAGACGGATGCGTTCCGCACGAACATTAGAAGCGGAGGAAGCAATCTTCGAGGAGGTGGAAGCAGACGGCAGCAAATGTATCCTCATCGAAATGGGTAAGTTTACTATTAATGATATTCTTCACAATTCTTAAATAAACATATCCCTCATGTATTATTAAATTAGCTTTGCGATTCGTTCGTTGAATTCGGTTTGAATACGAAATTATTGAAACAAGAATATCTTTTGACGGAATTTCTTATTGTTAATCTTCTGTAATCGGCTCAATTAATAATTAAAACGGTTGTCACGGTTAAACTACTTACTATTTCGGTTTCGAAAAATTAATAAATATTCTTCAAACGTTCTAAAATAAAAGTGAATAGCGTTCTTAAAAATATCACTCTTACGTAATAAAAAAAATTCGGAAAGTTCACGCTCCGTGACTTGTTCATTACTACAAACGCGGCCTAAATCCGTCGCGAAAGACGACTTTCTGCCAAAGGCACGTGCAGCTGGCTCTCGAAGATCCCGTGCTCGCCTTGCATTGGTCACTATTTTTTGTTAATAGCTCGTAAACAAAGCCGCGGATTACGTTTTCGCTAAGGAAAAAATTGCTTCAAATGACCTCAGAAACCCCTTATTTCGCGAAAATACGCTCATTTTTGGACACCCTGTATATTATATTTATTGTGTATTTGAGGTAGACTACATACAATCAGGAAAAGCGAATTAAATGTTTAAATGTGCCACCCTGATCCCATTTGGGGATTTCAAATATCCGAAAGTTTTCGGAACCCGACATAACTTCGAGTACCCAAAAGTTTCATGTCCCGACCACACCCGAACCGGTCAATGACAAACTCAACTCATGATTCGGGTATCCGAAATTTCGGATATCGCGCAATCCTAGTAGTAACGTTAGTATATTTTTGAAGTAACTTTTTAATGGAAAACGAGCGGCATCTATAATCGGTAATTATTTAAAGTACAGTAAATTCTCCTTAATTGACACTCAGCTTGTAAACAAAAATGGACAATTTGGGAAGAGCAGATACAATTATTCGAGTCTCGCTACTCGTTTTTATAGTCGCCGATTGTCAGCTACTATAAAAACGAGCTGCAAGGCTCAAATTTTCCCAATTTTTTTCATTTTTGTGCACAATCTGAACGTCAATTAGAGCGAATTTACTGTAGTTGCAAATATTATTGAAGTTATCATTCTAAACAACTTTTTCCTATACATTTTAACGTCACACAGCCTTGGTTTGCAGGATAAATGAAACAAATCATTATGAATTATCCGAGAATTATTTTAATTAGGTTATGTAATAGGCCTGGGTTAGGTGAACATCACATGCCTACCTCCCTATTCTAAATAATTATCCTAAAATCTTTTAAATATCACTCACAAAGGAGTCCTTAATAACAAATATTAAGTTGGATATTTAGGATCCTCTAAATGTCATATTTACCAAAAAATCGAATTCTTAATTTCTTTGACTTATTTTTATATCCTTATAAAAAAACACTCTTATGAAATGTAATGCGAGATTTCTTAAAATTATCACGTTCTCTGTTATTTAAAAATCTGTTATATTATACGTATAATGTTTAGAATACATATATACCTGGTCGCCTTTTAGACGGTCGAGTAACGTCACGCAAACCACAGCAGACTTGATACCAGCATGATGCGTGAGAGCTGCGAAGGAAAGACTCTCCATCTCTATATTTACTACACCGGCTTTATGCAGTTTGCTTAAGTAATCCATTTTGTCGTTTTCCGTGAAATCACAAAATGCGCCATCCAGTCGACCTTGTCCTTCATAAAAGTCGTAAGTGCACATGGTTTTACCGACTACAGTCTCGTAAGGGTCTTCACGATGCGCAAGCGCCTTCAGTTCACGAGCCAATTGTCGGTCTAGCTTTGCTGGTCTTCGTACCATCTTCCCTAATACAGACTGTGAAATTAAATTCTCCATTAATCATTGTACTTGAATATTGTTTGCTAATTTTAATAAACTCATGTACTGAAGATATTATTAGAAACAGAAAATGTACCTTAAGGCTCGTGACATATGTACATGCTAAGTTCGGGTCGTGCTAGCAGCATGCTCGATTCAAAGTGTTCACATTAGACGTACGAGCATGATGCCAGGCAGGACCGATGACCTCGGGGCTGAAGTGTCTTAGACCGAGATTCAAAGTTCGACTTTATCTTCTCCGAACGTAGAAAAGGACAGCAAATGAAGGACAGATAATTACGCAATGTGTAACTTCTTTACTTTCGATTATTTCGTAATGGTACTTTTTCCAATGCAATCGTGAGCATTCTCCGATTAAAATAAGACCAAACACGATATAATTTCTGTAAGATTATATTGATTCCTTTCCGACCCCATCTGTTCGTCAAACAATACCAATCAATTTTTCAGAAAAGCAGTTATTTTCTTCAGAATTTAACATTTTATTTTATTATTATATTTTTATTATTATGACCCACAGATGGTCATCAAAAGTCGAGTCACCATCTAGCCTTCATAGATTCCTTTTTTGCATGTTTTGTCAAGTCGAAATGCTTCTCCGGATTTATTGCCTGCAACCCTAGAACGAAAGATTGCGCACTCTGTCCACATCGTACCAGTTCCGTAGTTCTGTTTCGCTTTGTTTAATGGTACAATGTGACTCGCGGGCGAAGAAAGGCTAGCCCGGGTCTGCCTGCAAGTGTGGACACATTTGGACGGAGCCGAGCGGTCTGACACGCCGCGAGCACAGCGCGCGTAGTGTGAACACTCCACTGTAAATCAAATGGAAGCCTAGCACGTATACGTGTTATGAGCCTAAAACTGCCTTTCATTAATAACTTATAAACAAAGCCGCAAATTGCATTTTCGCTAAGGAAAAAGTTACTGCAAATGACCTCAGGTACCCCCCATTTCCGAGTTGCCAGACATTTTTGGAACACCTTATAAACTGGGTGATCCGTTTAACTCGACTCAGTGGAATATTTCGCGGAGGATTAAAGTTATCAAAAATATGTTCCTTTAAGAGTTGTTTAGTGTGGAGGAAAACATTAGATGATATAAACGATATTCCTACAGGTGTAGTGGTGGGGGAGATATTGAAGTCAAATTAATATTTTTAAATGGGACCCTGTATTTATTTATCCATAATATAACAGCGTTTGTTGAAACGAATACAATGATCTGCAATATGATATCATTCCAAGTAGCAAAATGATATAAATGAAATGTATGTACGTTCATCTGTCATTTTCAGAATTTGGATATACCAAGTGATATATGTATATAGTCGTTGTTAATGCAACAATTGTTAAGAAGAAGAAAAGAATAAAGATACAACCCTTGGCAAAAAGAGCTTCCGATCATATACAGTAATATATACAATTTAGAAAGAGTATTCGTATTTTGGGTTATAAAATGTTCTTATCTGCAGGTAAGACGAATGGGGGACGTAGATGGAATCTATATAAAGTAAATAAATACAACATAACACAACATTCCATTTATTATAAAAAGAAAACAAAGAAAACAAAATATTATATGGAAGAAGTTTCCGATCAGTACAAATGTTGGAAAAAAGTTTCCGGTCATTGAGTTATTAATATTTTGTTCCATTACAACGTGCTCGAATGACACTTTTAATGCGTTGGGTCATTGACATTGCTAAGTTTTCACAATCCCTAGGCGAAATTTCATTCCACAACAATTTTATCGCATGTCGAAGTTTCTCTTTAGTTTCTCGTGAATCAATTTTTTCAATTTTGCCCACATGTTCTCGTTTAGCTTTAAATCGGAACTGTTTGCAGGCCATTTCAATATTTTAATATGTAACGTACGGAAAATGCTTCGATGTGTTTTTTTTTACTTCTTCCTGAAGGCATACGCCAGGCTGACGCCAGCCAGCCGGGGTTTGCTCTGTATACCGCGAGTCAAGTAACCTTGAAGGCACCCCCACTACCATTTTTCAAGTAAAAGGGTGTATAAAGGGCCCAAACGCGACCAAAAAGCGGGCTAGTTTCAAGTCAACTACCGACGAAGAAACGTTAGCAAGATCGACTAATTCTCTTTCGAGTATTTCAACCGAGTACGTACATCGTTACAAGGTTATAAGCCCCCGCCTGGCTCAGTGCTATCTAGAATCCGTGATACGTACACACGTACACAATTGTACTAGACCAAAGAGCTCGTAATATGACCGCTCGATACTCTATTATATCTTCAGTTCTTCTTTGTAAAAGTTACAATACTCATCCCATGCTCCAAGACAAACAAGATACTGGTCGCTAAATATTACTTTGCATCAGTCCTCCACAGTCCAATTTGCGTGTTCCTTACACTTCCTTCCTGTGTTCTTTTGTAAGTAATGATTATGTTTTTGCCTTTCGAAATAAGAAGCCCATTTCACTTAATCGATTTCTGACAACACGGTCACAGACACTCGAGATCCACTGTTCATTTATTTGTTTTTATAGGATATTCTTCCGAAAGGCCCCTCTGGCTAATCAGTACCAGCTTTTGAGGGAAGGTGGGAGAGGTGTATGGGTGCCAAATATAAAATTTTAACTTCGGGTTTCATTAGTTTTTGAGATATTAACCAAAAATTGGGAGTGGGAGTCACTCCCTCTCCGTGCCCTGCTGCTATCGCACCAACACTTGCATACCGTAGCTGGAGAGAACGGAGAACCTACGTTTATAACGTCATTTCGGCGGCGCAATCCGCTGGCTCTAGTAAATTCTCTACCTTCCGAACGCATATTGATGCGTTCTTTAAATTCGACAATTTTGTCGAAGTTAAAACTTCATATGTAGAGTCAACTTCCAATCCTCCCTTAGACCTCCAAATTTCATGTAGATCGGCAACAGGGGCAATTCGGAAGTACACCTTTTTAATGTTGCTCGCTTCATATTTTTAACAATTACATGTAATTTTCTATCGTGTTTTCTACTTGTTGCACAAGGACGACCATTTTCTTATGGTTAGATATACTGCCTTTTTCATTATATGTATTCCTTATTTGTATCACTTACATATGTAAACATTATATGCGTCGAGTGCAGCATTGATCGAGTGTCAAGTGTCAGCAGCAGACCTTTGATTTTAGGATTTACATTGTAAGAACCTGTGAAGTCACCACAGCGACGAAGAATTCGGGTTTATCAAAGCCACGGTCGGAGATCGCTTAGATTTGTCAGGAATAATAGAGACATCAAATAAACGGCTTAACCTCTTACACTTTTCCTACTCTGACTATGTATATTCTATAATTTTTGCAACTTTTCATAGAAAAGGGAAATTTAAATAATAAAAGAGACATATGAAATGTATTATACTTCCAGCACATTTTAATTCGTCATTCGAAGTTGGAAAGTTTGACTAAAAACAGTATCTTTATTCGAATGGAGATACTTTTCTTATTCGAAACGTATTTACTTGTAGCATTGAATGAAATTTTAATCTTTTATCTGTATCTTTATTCGAAGGCCTAAGCCTTATAGGCTAAGCCCTATATGCTTAATCTATGAAGGCTAGATGGTGGCTCGACTTCTGGTAATCATCTTTGGGTCATAATTCAATAAAATGTTAAATTCTGAAGAAAATAACGGCTTTTCAGAGTAACTGCATACTACATATGGATTAGTATTGTTTGACGAACAGATGGAGTCGAAAGGGAATTTCCTGATTCTTTACGGCTTTCAACACGGAACATGATGTATACCCAGTTATTCATTTAAAAAATACGTTTTCAATATTGCAATGAAATATAAATTTTAATGTCAGATTCAATAACGAAAATGGAAAAATCGGCTATCAACACATACAGTAGCACACAAAATTGTGTGGACATTCCTCAAAATGCAGTATCTCTTTTAAAACTTGGACTAAACGACTAGAAATTTTAAAAATGATGGTGGGTTTTTAATTGATTGATCTTTAATTGGTTACAACTTCTTTTAAGGTCAACCGATTTCGATGAAATTTTCATTACGGTTAGAAGGTCTACAAAACGCATTTATAAGCTCAGATAAAAAAGTTAAAAAGCATGAGCTTTTTATTTTTTATTGTCACTTCAAGTAATAGCAAAATTTAAGGAAAGCATTATAGTCATTGTCTTGTAGACTAGTCCCACTATTATTTAGAAAAATTGTGGTCCTTTAGTCAGTTTTGAAAAAAGATACTGCGTTTTGAAGTGTGTCCACTCAATTTTGTCCGGTACTTTATCTTGTCGTTCTTCCAGCGGATTAGGCGATATACCTGATATAGCTATACGAGTATAATAAGTATATATTTTTATATAAAAAAGGTCATTTTGATTTTTATATAATTCAACGACGCATGTTATTTTGTTGCAAATTTATAAATCAGACAATCATTTCGATACGGAGGGTGTATAAACTATAAAAATAAAAATTTCGTCTAGAATAACGTTTCACTGGTTTCCTAAAATATTTAAATTAATGTCAATATGAAAATTATATTTATATTTCTAATAAAAATCAATATAATCTTATCGTGTTTGGTCTTATTTTAATCAAAAAAAGCTCACGATTGCATTGGAAAAAGTCCCATTAAAAAATAGTGAAAAATAAAGAAGTTAAACATTGCGTTATTATCTATTCTTCATTTATCTGGCACCATACTAATGTGAACACTCTCAATCGAGCACGCTGCTAGCATGACCCGAACCTGGCACGTAGATGTGCATCGATCCTAACTCTTCGAATAACTTTTGTCAGCTCGAATGTAAATGTGATGCCAATCCTCAAGCCCAGACCACAGTCACAGGAACAGGAGTTACGCAAGGGGTAGATTGGTGGCACATGCGCAGATAATCTTGCACAGCGGCGTGGCCCGTCTATCGGGTGAACTTTATGCAGTAAATTCTCTCCAATTGTCTCTCAGCTTGTAAACAAAAATGGACAATTTGAGAAGAGGATATACGATTATTTCAGCCTCACGGCTTATTTTTATAATTCTAGATAATCGGCGACTGTAAAAACGAGCCACGCGACTCGAATAATCGTATCTGCTCTTCCCAAATTGTCCATTTTTGTTTACAAGCTGAGGAACAATTGGAAAGAATTTACTGTAATCCTGAACTACGATCAGACAGAGGCTTTATGTTATTCCTTACGTAGCTCCTCTTCCTGTGAACACCGGCCCCAAGCTTCAAAGACCCATCAACACAACGGCATACAATGTAAGCAGATAGAGAATTGCGCACGATCGAAGATTTAAACTTTAACATTTTTTAATATACTTTCATAAATTACGAATGAATTGAGAAGCTTCTCCCGATGAAAATGAGTGCAAACGCGACATCATATGGATTTTCTTCAATAATATTGTAATTTTTTCATAACAATACGTATCAACCAAAAATGTTCCATTTCACAGAAATTTCCCTACTGCTGGGCATATTGTCACAAAGAAGAAGCATAACACAAAATATGTATACGTTTAGTACAAAATACGCATGTAATACAAATACGCACGTAATACAGAAATACACGGGTATTCGTATATTAAGAATTACACGGGTTAAAGTTCGGAATAGTTAATTACTCAGTTTTTGCCTTTTATCATGGTTAGTAACATAATTTTTTCAAATTTTTCAAAAGAGGGGCATGAATCTAAAAAAAATGTCGGAGGTTTGGATGGAAAAAGCACGTAGATGTGTCACGAGGCTTGTGGGATTGTTCCTTCTATGTATTTAGTTTCGCCTGTCGTAATTAAGGGTCAATCAAGGACGTCAGACTTGAAAATCATTTCAGTAGTGTAGAGCCTAAATCGATTTTGATTTTCTTGAAAATCGATAGGGTCAACTCTGTTTGGTCATTTCTGATTCGACTGACTTGTAAAGGCTTGATGTTCAATGTGGGGTGGAATTCCATAGTGCTTATCAAAAGCAGCGTAATTTTCCGAAAAATACAATACAATTAGACTATACAATACATACTCCTACTACATACAATTGGACTTATTTAATCAGGAAGAGATATTCAATTTATTTCTAATATGTTTATAAAAGTGTATTGAAAAATTTTCGATTTTCATTCGCGCGCGTGCGTGATTCTTCATCTGTTTACATTATATGTCATTATCAGTCGCTGAGTCTTTAATGTTCGGTGTTAGTGGTGTAAGATTTAAGGATTTTCTAACTCAGTGCTGTCTGCAGTGGAGTGATAAACTTTTGGTAGCTTGGCGTCAATTCGTAGATCATCTCAGAAATGCTAAATTGATACCGGGGAGCCAGGAATTACCACTGCTACACATCATGAACCTGAAGGTTTGAGCATAAACTGGACTTTTAGACGCAGGATGGGAAGCGAATACCAAAAAACAAAGGTCAATATACGGACTTAGAAATAGAAGGACGGAACATAAAGTCCTCATGTAGGTGTGCTCAGGTATGCAAAGGGAATTATGTGACCGCCATTGCATGTTCAAAACTATCTTCGTTCATTTTACGTGCATTCGTTAACGTGGTTGTTTTACAAGTTTAAAATGCCATGACATCGACAATAGTGAATCACATTCTCCATATCTTAGACAGTCGATAATCAAAAAATGTTTACACTCTTTTATATAAAATTGGACTCCATTATATGTATTCGAAAATAAATAACAATAATACATGTAAACAACAATTTACAAAACTATAAAAAATAGTTTATAAAAAAGAAGAGAATATCCTACAAACCAAAACTTCACATTATTGTATTATTTTAATAGACAATTTTTATCAAAATTTGAACAGAAAAAATAAAATAATTCATTATAGTTATTATTTTACATGGATATTATCGACTTGTATTTTCAAATAATAGTATTGCAAGTAATAGCCTCGAATAAATAAGAATTATTTTAATTTTAAGTACAGTTTGACTACGTCTGAGTTCATAGGTATGTACATTTTTACATAATGTCCAAAATCCTGAATCCAGATCTCCAGATGCATATACAGGGTATTCCATAATTATGTTAACAGCCGAAAATAAGGGGAACCTGAAATCACTTGAAGTAACTTTTTCCTTTGCGAAAATGCAATCTGCGGCTTTGTTTACGAGTTAATAACGGAAAACACTGACAATTGAGAGGCGAAGGCGCGAATTACAATCGATCGGGTGCAACGATCGAATCGATCGATCGGGTGCAACGTGCTTCGACCGTGGAGAGTGGCAGATGAAGGAGAGCTCCATGCAGCGTTCGCATCAATGAACAAGTCGTGGAGCGTGAACTTCCAAATTTTTTTTACTACGTGACAACGATAATTTTAAGAAAAACGCTACTCATTATTACCGAACGCTACACTTATTTCCAAATATCTGAAGGATATTTACTAATGGTACTAAGTGGATTTACAAATAAATGGATAAGTCTCTTATTAATAATATTTTTCACATTTCTCAAACAAACGGATCCTTTACGTTCTTTAACGGAGTTATGTATTAACACTATGCCGTCCGGCGACACCACAGTGGTGTCGCGCGCAAAGTATCGCTCGGCGGCCGGCAACACTGCAATGGTGTCGTGCGCACGGTATCGCCCAGTGGCCGACGACAACACTCTTGTATCCTTTGCATTCTCTTGATGATCTGTGGGGTTCTGTTGTTGCTCTTGTTCCGTACCGTCTCGGTACAGTATTTTTAGCATAAAGCCGTACAGCTTTACGTGGAATAAGTTACATACGTCAGCACACACACACACACACACACACACACACACACACACACACACACACACACACACACACACACACACACACACACACACACAAGTGTTTTTTGTTATGAGTACTTGTACCCATTTATCATGGCAGACGAAGGAGAAGACACTGTTATTTACGAGGAATGTGCGGACGACTTGTCCGACGTTCCAATTTCGAATTTTCATAAAAATAGGTGAGGCGGATTGAAAACTCGTGAGAACTACCGATGAGATTAGAAAAACTTGAAATTTATCATCTCCCAATAACCTCAAAAACAGCCGGCGACAAGCGAAGTAACAGAGTTAGTGGTGCCGGCGCCAAGCGAAGAAATGTTTAAAAACAGTGCGGCCGGCAAAGTGTTAATAAAATAGCTTTGCGAATCGTTCCTTGAATTCTGTTCGAACATGGAATTATTTAAATTAAAATATCATTTACGTACTTCGACAGTGTTACATATTGTTAATCTTCACCATACATATCGCATAAAAATTTCGTACGATACACATGAGGTGTCATGCACACCAGAAAATTAAAAGGTTATTAAACTACTTATTATTTCGGATTTGAAAAATTAGTAAATATTTTTCAGACATTCTGAAACAAGAGGATGTATAGCGTTTTTCTTTAAATTATCACTGTCACGTAGTAAAAAAGTAGTCGAATGCAACACGGAGCCACCCTTCTTTTGTCACGCTCCGCTGTCGAAGCACGTAACAGTCGACCGATCGACCACGTTGTAATTCGCGCGCTCGTCTCTCATTAGTTACTGTTTTTAGTTAGTAACACGTAAACAAATCCGCGGATTGCATTTTCGCTAAGGAAAAAGTTATTTCTAATGACCACAGAACCCCTCATTTTCCGCTTGTACGATAATTTTGGAACACTCTGTATATTTTTAAGTAAGGTAAGCGAAAGTATAAAAATATTTAAACTCTTTAGGGTCTTTGCTAGATGGATCGTGATTGAAGGCTTCTCTATTCGGAATAATTAACAAAATTTCTTTTTTTCTAATTCTTAATTGTAGCGCATTCTTATACAAAGAATTTTTTAGTGATGCAAAAATTCGTGTTCACAAACCAAATGGAGTGCAGTATTTTCAAAATGTAAGAGTATCCAGAATTTTTATTTTAGTTATTTTAGAATTAGAATATTCATTTATTAATTATTTCAGAATTCGGAAAGTTCACGCTCCGTGACTTGTTCATTGCTTCGAACGCGGCACGAAGCCTGAGAATGAAACCCTCCATTAGTGGAAATCACTCATGAAACTGTAATAGGTGTAAGTTATAGTATACAGAATGGGGCATTTGAAAAGAAAATGATCTCTCTTATTAATCTATTAAATGGTTGATTCAGGTTAAAATTAGCGCAAGGATGATTTTAATAACTTTATACAGTTCATTTGTGGAAGTTGATACTTTAAAATGAAAATACTACTAGTACAACTTGTAGAAACTTGAATGTGATCTTTATGCGATGTTTTGCAAGGTACTTACAAGGTAATTGCAAGGCCACGTAAATAAGCCTATTATATGTACGTCTGAATACTATAATCTCAAAAAAGTTGTTTGCATCAGTCACATATTTTGAGATACATGAGCTTTCCGAAAAAGACTATAATATCCGTGTTATGACTACAGTTGATTACTCCTGCTACAAACATTCTAGAGATTCCATAAAATTGCCTTACCAGTTCTAAGTAAGGCTTCTGCATTCCATCGACTGCTTCTTCAGAAATTACAACGGTACCACCTTCAAGGCCGATTCCACCACAGGTACCGATTCTAAAGAATATAGGATCCTTCACTTTTGCATGGTACATTAACTTGATCACTTCGTGAAGGAGAATTCCGACCGATGGGATCCCCATTCCATGCTAAACAAAAGAGAAACAAAAACCTTGGACATTCCATACATGTGTCTTAAGATTATATTAAACAATTTCAAATGTTTATATAACTATTACAGACTTATATGATACTCAATTCACTGTGTGAATTGTGTTTAGGTCATTCTTAAATATTGCTGGCTTGTACTGTGACGTTGCAATTTTGCGACGTCATTTCTCCAAATAAAATGGTGGGGAAACCACCATTTAAAGAAAGATTCTCGTGAAGCGGGTAAAAAAATCAATTTTTTAAATGCATAAATCAAAAGTACTAAATTTTAACATCGAATTTTGAACTGTAAGGTCCTTGAAACCTTACTGAAAACTTTAAACGTATTATACTTTAAATATACTAGTTGACTTAAAACAAAGCTTATATTTTCGTTACAACATTTTTCAGGGATTGAACCTGAAATTAAATTTTATTTTTCATTTATAATACTTTTGAGCTGAAATAGTATACCAAAAATACAAAATATGCTTACAAATGCTACAATTTCTTCAGTTTGTCAATTTTTTAAAATATGTTCAATCCCAGCTTAAATTATCTAAGTTTAAGAAACTTTTTGTTTTGTCATAGATATTACACTGTCCGCCAACCATGGCTACATCATGGAAGACGAGTATAAGACTAGATCATTATTTAATAAGAAATAACATAAATTCGACTAAAAAAATTTTTTCATACGGTTTAACAATATAACTTTTAGTACTGTATAAAAAAGTTAAAAGAAAAACATTTAAATTTCACGTTGTTACATGAGAATCCCTCCTTGGTATTATTTTTTATAACATAAAACCTTGAAACCACTTAGCACATATATTTTTTAATATCTCAACATACAAAATTTTTTTTCGTAACTTTTTATCGACTCTTAATGACTACATTAAAGAAAAAAAGTGTTAGACTATACGCTGCCGACGGGGAAGTCTACAAGGAATAACATGTACTATTTCATTAAAAATGGCGATAAATTTCATCGATGTCTAATGTTATTAAAAAATTGGCAAACATCGCCTAACGTTTTAAAGATTCTAAGGAGTTTGTCCCCTTAAGTGAAAAAGCCTCGAAAGCATTCCCCGAGAAAATTCCACATGAATTCCATACTATTTTCTTATTTCGACCTGCGCGCTCTGAATATGGCGGAGTTTACAAAAAGGTGCAGAGTACCGAAACAACTCGAATAGTCCTTACTGACTGTATTAAGGAAGGACGTCTATTTTACGTAATGCTAGCTGTCCCACAAATCCCGTGTATGAGACAAGAAAGGGATTGCTGCCACGTACGGGTTAGATAACCCGGACACGACCAAGATGCCAAAACCACTGTCAACATTTGGATTCCAAAGACTAGAATTGTCGAGGACTCCATTTTCTCTGGCCTGCAGTCGTCTCGCCTCGTACAAGAAGAAGCCCTACCATTATACTCATAAAAAGAGGTTACGTTAAAAAGGGTTATAGTATTAGGGTGGTATTCTACATTTCGGTCACTCGAACGGCCGTTAATTACGTTCTAAGAGCACAGGATACCGCCATATTAAATAAACAAGATATGCAGAGACGTAAACTGCGGCTGACCCGCTGTCACCGACGGTACCCTACGCTCTTAGAACGCGTCGAATAAACGATTATCCACGGACGAGTCTCAGTGATCTTTCGTAATATCCACAAGTGTTTTGGGTTATCAATGATTAATTAAGTGATCAGTGTTTGGTGACAGTACAGTGTAAGTGAACTTCGTATATAACCATGCCAGAAGTTCCTCTGACAGAATCCCTCGAATGTTGCGGTCATCGACCTGGGATCAGCTGTACGTTGTANCTCATAAAAAGAGGTTACGTTAAAAAGGGTTATAGTATTAGGGTGGTATTCTACATTTCGGTCACTCGAACGGCCGTTAATTACGTTCTAAGAGCACAGGATACCGCCATATTAAATAAACAAGATATGCAGAGACGTAAACTGCGGCTGACCCGCTGTCACCGACGGTACCCTACGCTCTTAGAACGCGTCGAATAAACGATTATCCACGGACGAGTCTCAGTGATCTTTCGTAATATCCACAAGTGTTTTGGGTTATCAATGATTAATTAAGTGATCAGTGTTTGGTGACAGTACAGTGTAAGTGAACTTCGTATATAACCATGCCAGAAGTTCCTCTGACAGAATCCCTCGAATGTTGCGGTCATCGACCTGGGATCAGCTGTACGTTGTATATGGTCAGTGCCTACGAATCAGCAAATGCATCCTCAACTAAATGGATGAATTTCTTATTGATAATATTTTTCAAATTTCTCTAATAAAAAAATCCTTTACGTTCCTTAACGCAATTATTTATTATTAAATCAGCTTTACGAATCATTCGTTGAATTCTGTTCGGACATGAAATGATTTAAATTAAAAAATCATTTACGAATTTTGTTAATCTTCACTGTATACCTTGCATAAAAATTTCATATGGTACACATGAGGTGTCATGCACACTAAAAACTTAAAACGGCTGTCACGGTTAAACTACATATTATTTCGAGTCCAAAAAATTAGTAAATATTCTTCAGACGTTTTAAAATGAAGGTGAACAACGTGTTTCTTAAAAATATCACTGTTACGTACTAAAAAATACTTCAAATGCGGCCCGAGTCCGTCCCGACCTTTTAGCAAAGCCTCGTGCTACAGGCTCTCGAACTTCGCACCCTCACCTCTCATTGGTCAGTGTTTTTCGTTAATAACTTGTAAACAAAGCCGCGGATTGCATTTTCGGTAAGGAAAAAGTTACTTCAAATGTCCTCAGGAACTCCTCATTTCTCGAAAATACGAAAATTTTGGGACACCCTGTATACTGGACGAGATACTGCTGGACCTGACATGTTGGCATACCCGAAAATGTTTGCATCGAGCTCGTAAACAAGCTGATGGATGAAAGGCATACCTTGTTTGTCGACAATTTTTTCACAAGCTACAAATTAGCAATAAAGTTGTTAAATTTTTAAACCCATGTTGTTGAAACGGTACGCGACAATACTAAATAACCTTTACCGATTGAAAAAAGTGAAATAATATCACGAGAAAACAATAATGGCATTATAGTTTTGATATTGAGAAATGCCCGTGAAGTCAGGCTATTATCATCAAAACTTGCACCTGTTATGATACCAATTTTGTATTCTTCCAGTTCTCGCGGTCGTCCTCCAAAAATGAAACTAGCACTTCATATCTTAATAGAAATTTCTATACTGAATGCACACATTGTGTACCAAAAGGAACTATCCAGAAAATACAAATAAGAAAATTGCGAGAGCTTATGGTTCGAATGTGGTTGAAACCGGAAAACACAAGGCTCGAACAATAAAAAAAATATGCCTCCTCAAGGCATATTTATAAGAAGAATGCGTGTTCGATGCTACGAAACACAAAAGCAAACTCTCGAACGCCATGAAGCAAGAAAAAATTTACAAAAGCATATAACGTATTGTGCTGAGTGTCCACAGTCACGTCAATTATGTTTACAATGTTTTTTACGAATACCATCGTATATGTAACTAATAAAATGTTATATATAATATTTTCAAAACAACAAATTTAAATATAAGTATAATTTTAATTTGTTAGTGCAAGTATATTTTATATCACATATTTTAGAATTTCTATTTTGTATTTTGTCCTCTCTCTCTCTCTCTCTCTTTCTCTCTCTCTCTCTCTCTCTCTCTCTCTCTCCATAAAATTATCATAAAATTTGACCGCGGATTAATTCACAGTACCAGCTATACCCAATAGCGCTTCTTCTTCGGTTGCGTTTCACACCTCCTACCCAACTCGTAATCGATTTAGATTCCAATCGGATAGGGCAAACCTGACAATCTGTATTAGTGAAATAAATAATACCAATACAGCATTACAAATCCCAGTCCTCGAAGAATTATTTGAAGAAAACATTCTACGATTCAGAATTCTACAGTTCGAGAAATTTATTGGTATAATCGACGTGCTTTCAATTCATTTCCTTTGGTATGGCCATACCCGAAGTGCATGTCTAACATGAGTATTAGGGGAACCGGAAAGTAATGTCGTCTTTTTACATTACATTCAACCATATAAATTTTTAACCAGTTTTTATTTTCAATCAATGATGTAATCACCCTTATTATCAACAACCTTTTTTCGTTTAGTATGCAAATTTCCAATGCCGGATCGATAAAAATCAATTGGTTTTTGAGAGAAATATGTGGAAATGGCATTTTGAACATGATGTTATATATTATTATAAATTTAAACATTTTTTGCCACTTAAAAAATGTTGTAGCGATCAGAATAAATGAAGATCTGATGGCGCAATATCCGGCGAGTATGGTGGGTGAGATACAATATCTCCCACCCCAATTCATTAATTTTTTTCATGGTTTTTCTTGCGCAGTGCTGTCTTGCGTTATTGTGTTGCAAAATAACGCCTTCTTTGTTGACAATTGCTGGGCACTTTTCAATTAAAGATTGATTCACACGATGTAATTGCTCAACAGTAAAGATCTGCGTTCGAAGTTTATCCAGGTTTCAGCATTTCAAAATGAACGACCACACGAATACTCCATCAAACACACAAAAGTGCCTTTTGGAGTGTAAACCTGGCTTAGCTATTCTTCGTGGCGATTCATTCGGAGAAAGCCACTGCCTTTTGCGATTTGGATTATCATAGAGGACCCATTTTTCATCTCCAGTGATCAAGCGATCAAAAAACGTTTCTGTTTTGTGCTGCTAAAGCAATAAGTTGTATGTGGTGAATCGGTTAGCTTCCGGAACTCAAACACCTGCTCTATTTACTTACTAATCTGCGGCAAATGTTCTTGGATGGTCGACCAAGGTTGGTGAAGAGTGTTTGACAGCCTCTCAATTGTCTGACACGAATTTGCTTTCACTTTCACCATTAACATGTCATTGTCTAAAATCGTTGGTCTTCCGGACCGATATGAGTCGAAGAGATCAAAAGTACCGTATCTGAACTTAGAAAACCACCTTTAGCATTAACGAACGTCTAATGCACTTAGATAAACATCGAAAATGTTTTTGATAACAACTGTTGCGTTACCATCCTTGTGAAACTCAAAAAGCATATAATAGCGGATATGTACCTCTTCTGGTATTTGGGTGATTATTTCACCATAAATTGAAAAAAAAGTTTAAGATTTAATTATTTACAACTTGAATCTTAAAATGTCTTTAGCACGACTTCGAAGTACACAATGAGCTGATAAATGACAAAAGAATACTGACATGCGCAGAAACGACATTACTTTCCGGTCCCCCTAATTTTGTCTGCTTCATATCGATGGAAATTATTAGTACACATTAGATAAGGTCAAGACATACAGTAGCGTGTCTTGTGGCATGTGGCAGGCACTTCGACATATGTATTTTTTAATCATTCATAACTCGAAAACTGAGGTATATCGGACATACATTCCTATGAGATTTTTTTTATTTGTTTTGGTGTATAGATTTACTTCCTAAAGTACTGACATATATTTATGAATATATACGGAGTGTATATTATACAGAGGATGTTCCATAATTATGTTAACACCCGGAAAGGGGTAATTCCTGAGGTCATTTGAAGTAACTTTTTTCTTAGCGAAAATGCAATCTGTCGCTATGTTTAAGAATTATTAACGAAAAACAGTGACCAATGAGAGGCGAGCGTAGAAACTGCAAAGTAGTCGAGTCAGCGTGCGGAACCCTGCTTCGCACCGAGGCGCGATGGAAAGAGAGGGCTACGCTCACAGGCTGCGTGCCGCGTTCGAAGCAATGAATAAGTCCCAGAGCGTTCAGAATTTTTTTAGTCATAATTTTACGAAAAATGCTGTATAAATTTATTTCATAATGTTTGAGGAATATTTACTAATTTTACGGGCCCGAAATAATAATTAGTTTAACCGTGACAGCCGTTTTAATTTTCTGGTGTGTGTGTGCTCTGGTTTCTCATGTATATCATATGAAAGAGCCTAACCGATCAAAATTGCCCTTAGAGATTTTTTGATGAATATAATATCGTTCGATAGCTGACCAAGAAAAACTCATCTGTGCAAAATTTCAACCCTATAACTTGTCCGTGAGGGTAGTTACATGGTAAAATAGATTACGCGCTTTTCCACCCATTTCCCCCCGTTGGAAGCTTTTTAAAATTTTGAAAAAATGTAGCTTATTTTCGACATCAAGCTGCATATTATAGAATTTTTTACATTTTTCGATTGCAAACTGTAGTTATAAAAAATAGAAAACCAAAAAAGAAAAGATCAGAAAATTGAAAATTTCTCGAAAATACAAATAAGGGTTTATTATATTAATTCCCTGATAAGAAGCTATCACAAGCAGTGCGCTCAATTTTTCTCAGATTTTTCGTCCGGCTGCATCATTGTCAAAAAAAGAAAAAATGAAAACCGAATTTATCGTCGGTTTTGCTGTGAGAAAAACTTGGATTTACCACAAGTGTAGATTAGGTCATTTTAAACGTTATTGCATTGAAACAAGCAATTTTTTAACTTAAAAAGTGCGGTTTAAGTGAGAGAAAAAATTATGATGTGCACATTGCGATATATACCTAAATATTCATGTATGTTTCAACATTTTCGGTCCGAAGGAGGGAAATGGGTGGAAAAGCGCGTAATCTATTTTACCATGTAACTACCCTCACGGACAAATTATAGGTGTGAAATTTTGCACAGATGAGTTTCTCTTGCTCAGCCATCTTAATCTGCTATGTATACACAGTGAAGATTAACAATAAGTAAACACGTCGAAGTATGTAAATGATACCTTAATTTAAATAAATCCGTGTACGACCAGAACTCAACGAATAATTCGCAAAGCTATTTTATTGATACATAACTTCGTGTTAATCCCTTGACCTACAATGACGGGCATAGTCCGCGTACGATGATCGGGCCAGAAGTAAATATTACGGGCTAGCGTGCGAACGTCCCGAACGCTGCGCGAGCTTGTATACAATTTCGACCCAACATCTTCGAATCTAAATCGTAGGTTAAGGGGTTAAAGAACGTAAAGGATCCACTTATTTGAGAAATGTGGAAAATATTATAATATTAATAAGAGACTCATCCATTTAGTTGTAAATCCACTTCATGATCGAAGATATGTGTCAGGAGAGTAGTGCATTAACCTCATACAATGTATGACGAACTACATAGCTGATCAGTATTTGACGACACCGTCAACAACGCGTACCGTGTTGATACGTTTTGTGCTTAGACTGTTCAATGCTTTCCCTTCATCTGACGAGGGATGTACAATTATCCTCGTCGACGACTGTTCGTTGCCGTCGTATACAGATCAGCTGAGCCGTTTATCATACGTTGTACGTGGTCAATGCACTATTCTCCTGCACATATTTCCGAACATGAAGTGAATTTACAACTAAATGGGTAAATTTCTTATTGATAATATTTTTCATATTCCTTTAACAAACAAATTCCATACGTTCTTCAACACGATTATTTATTATTAAATTAGCTTTGCGAATCGTTCGTTGAATTCTGTTCGGACACGGAATATTTGAATTAAAATATCATTTACGTACTTTGTTAATCTTCACTGTACACCTCAGATAAAAATTATTGCTGTCACGGTTAAACTACTCATTCTTTCGGGTTCGAAAAATTAGTAAATATTCTTCAGACATTCTGAAATAAGGATGAATAGCGTTTTTCTTAAAATTATCCATGTCGCGTGATAAAAAAAAATATCGAAAGTTCATGCTCCGTGACTTGTTCATTGATTCGAACGCGGCACAGAGTCCCCCTTTAACTGTCAAACTCGGCGGTAGGAGCACGTGGCGCTCGTTCGATCGACCATGTCGTAGTTCGCGCCATCGTCTCTCATTAGTCAGTGTTTCTTATTAATAACTCGTAAACAAAGCCGCAGATTGCATTTTCGTAAAGGAAAATGTTACTTAGAATAACCTCACCTACTCCATATTTCCGTAATACGAGACATTTTTGGGACACCCTGTAGAATTGTTTCGTACTATAGTTCAGCTGCATTACATTCTACACTTGTTATTTGATTTATATGAGAAGTTTTTTCCTTATTTAGTAATCTAATATGCAATAGTGTGAATATTTTCTACTTGTCTCCATTGATGTATACTTACGCTAATGGAAAGCACTGGTCCAACCTTGTACATGCAGTATCGGTACGAATACTGGCTAATGTCAAGAAGCGTTGTTCCAGACGGAAGCTTGTGACCTATTTCCTTCATTATAAAGTGGGCAAAATCTTCCATTCGTTTTGGTGTTCCGCCCATGCAGACAAACTGAAACAGAATTACCATATATTTTCAAATATAGATACATACATATTAGAATTAATGCTGCTGAAGATTGGGAAATGCAAAACACTCTATTTTTATAATTAATTAGTATCACAGTTCAACACCTAATTGGGCTTATAACATCGAGCGTACTTTTCTAATAGATATCTATGTACTGTATACTGAACACGTTTGTTTATTTAAAACTAACTAAGCGCTGAGGGCTGTACCACTATGTAGAGACGACACCCCTGTCGCACTCTCCCTGAAACGTCAGCAAACTGAAGTTTATGTGTGCCCACCAGTTCCCTAACTTCATTTTATTGACGTTTCGGCGGAGGGGGGGGGGGGGATTGCGACGGGAGAGCCGCTCTTATTTCGTTCTAAGCTGGTAACACTAGCTGAGAGTATAACGGCTCAAAACGTACCTAACTTTCGGAAGTCTGATAGATATCACTCTAGTTCTTCCGAATTTTCTCGATTCGACCCGAGGTCGTCACGTGATCAGCTTAATGGCGCACATGCTACCTACACATTTGAAAAGGTCGGCCAATTTCTTCCAAAAAGTCGCACCTTGAGTCGAACCGATCAATATCGGTACTACTGCTTAATCTAACCCTCGAACAACCAAGGTTTTGTTTTTATACAAACGTGCAAACCAGCAATATAAATGAACACAAATAAAATAAACTTTAATTTCGCAAGTCTAAACATTTTTGCCTGAACAAAGAATATTTATAAAATTAAAGTGTTTTAAAATTATGTATAGAAATAATTCAACGTATGATATTTAAAGCTTAGTATTTTGTTGCTCCATCTTTTCTTTTAATAACAGGCACCATTCTCTTTGTCGAAGATTTATAGACTTTTTTTAATAACTTTTTGCTGTAGTTACTCCCACTGATCGTCAATATATTTTTTCAATTCGGTAGTATTTTGAAGTTGTCTGTCATTTGCATATATAGTGCAAATATAGTTGCACTATATTGCATATAGTCGGGTCAAGGTTTCTCCAACAATTTTCAATGATAATAAGATCACGTGATCTTATTAGCCACTTCAAAACACGATTTTTTTCTCGAGAATAATACTCTTTTACTATACTTTTGCAGTTCATACTGTGACATTATTGTGCTGAAAAACATGCTTCTATCCAGTAATTCTAATGGCGTTTGTGCTTATTTGCTCCTTAATCATTTCATTATCTGATTTCCAGTTTTCGATAGTGTTCGACACCACACCGTAATGCCAGTTACCGACCATAACCCGTACAGTCTGAGTAGCAGCTACCAGATGTTCTGAAGTAACTCAGTTAACTCGGTAAGAACGGATTTTGAACAGGGTCTCTACCCACATAATCAACGTTTATAATATATACCCTATTATTATACCGAGGCATTTATGTAACTTGCACACTCCAAATAACTTTTAAATTATCACATAATTAAAAATTATTAAATATAAAAGTTGTAGAGTTTTAAGGGGTGAGGAGGTGATGTCGTATTCACTTTTTTTACACATAGTGTAGTTTAAAAAATTTCAAAGTCAACATTCTGTTTTTAAATGGTAAGCTATATTAAGTAGAAAAGTATATAAACCTATGTTCATATTAAATTTAATGGTTAACGAGATTTTAGACAGTTAGTCTTCCCCCGCGAGACTCCTGAGAGCCGATGCACTGAGAGCGGTAAGGCACGTTCGGCACGCCGGCCGCGAGATGGCCACACGCCACGAGTCGCGCTCTCACTCCTGAAATGGTCCCGGGGCGAATATAAGACGGTCAAGGGACGGTATGATTGAGACGTTCAGCTCCGCTACAACTCGGTACAGTTCAGACAATATCGAGCTCCTATCCAGTTCCCGTAGGCGAAGTTAAGACGGATTCGCATCTTCCGTAGCCGGTCTAATTCAGACAATGCCGAATCTTCTGTAGTCGGTCCAGTTAAAACAAAGCCAAATTTCCCATAGTTGAGAAAGTGAATAATAGAGAGAATAAAGAAAATATACACGGAAACAAGAAATGTGGTGAAGACAAGTGAGGGGGAGTTAAAAGAGTTCTGGACAGGCGAAGAACTAAAACAGGGTTGCCAGCTCAGTCCAATACTATTTACTATATTCATAGCAGACATGGAGGAAAACATGAGTAGGGGGATATGAGATTCTGGACACTGACATATGCGGACGGTGTGGTTCTAATAGCGAAGAGAGATGAAGAGTTAAAAGGAATGATTAAAAGATCGGAAAATTACCTGGACAAAAAAGAACTGAGGTTGAATATGGGAAAAACTAAAGTGATGCTATTCCGGAAGGATGAAGGCAAGAGCAGAGAAATGCAATGAAAATGGAAGGGAAAGGAAGTAGAGGAATTTTGCTATGTAAGGATAACGTTCCAAAAGAACGTAAATATGAAAAGGCATATAAGAGGGAAGGGACGAAGAGAGCCAATGTTGTTTTGAACCAACAATGTAGCATAGAGGAACGGAAATTCAAAGATCACTTTCTCATGAGAATGTTCCTGTTCGATACGTTGATACTGGGTGTACTGTTATACGGAGTGGAGTTATGGGGCTATAAGGAGAGTATACTTAAAGTACATAAAGTGGACATTGAGACTGGATATCCGTATACCAAGTTATCTAATACTAGAGGAAACAAAGAGAGTTAAAGTTAGTATATGTGCAGAACAACGGGACATAAGGTTTGAGGAGGATCCGAAGAAAGATGGAGAAAGAAGAATTGTCTCAGAATGTTTGAAAGAGAAGGAAAAAATCGTAGAACTGAAAACCAAAAGCAGGTTAGAAAGAGAGGAATATTTTAAGAAGAACGGATGGAGTCAGGAGGGTATACAGGGTGTTCCACAATTATTTTAACAGCCGAAAATGAGGGGTATCTGAGATCATTTGAAGTAACTTTTTCCTTTGCGAAAATGCAATCCGCGGCTTTATTTACGAGTTATTAACGAAAAACACTGGCCAATGAGAGGTGACGGTGCGAGAGAGAGGGTCCGCGAGAGAGTCTGCAGCACGAGGCTTTGATAGAACGTCGAGACGGACTCGAGCCGCGTTCGAAGTATTGAACAAGCCACGAAGCGTGAACTTTCCGGATTTTTTTTTTATTACGTAAAAGTGATATTTTTAACAAAAACGCTGTTCACGTCTACTTTAGAACGTCTGAAGAATATTTACTAATTTTTTGGACTCGAAATAATATGTAGTTTAACCGTGACAGCCGTTTTAATTTTCTGGTGTGCATGGCACCTCAAGTGTACCATATGAAATTTGTATGCAATGTGTACAGTGAAGATTAACAAAGTTCGTAAATGATATTTTAATTTAAATAATTCCGTGTCCGAACAGAATTCAACGAATGATTCGCAAAGCTGGTTTAATAATAAATAATCGCGTTAAGTTACGTAAAGGATTTGTTTATTAGAGAAGTATGAAAAATATTATCAATAAGAAACTCACCCATTTAGTTGAGGATGCATTTGCTGACTCGTACGTACTGACCTCGTACAACGAACAGCTGATCCCAGGTCGATGACCGCAACATGACCGCAGCATTCGAGGGATTGGTTATTTGCAAAGTTCACTTACACTGCACTGTCACCAAACACTGATCAGTTAATTAATCACTGATAATCCGAATCACTTGTGGATATTAAGAAAGATTACTGAGACTCGTTCGCGGATAATCGTTTATTCGACGCGTTCCTTCGGAAGTCGACGTTTCACTGCCGAAAAATTCAGACCTTGACTGTGGGCCTTTGTTGTTCGTCGTTCAGCCGTCCGCGGAAATGACACCCGATATCATTTTCTTCGCACGGCCATTAATTACGTTCTAAGAGCGCAGGGTACCGTCGATGACAGCGGGTCGGACGCAGTTTACGTCTCGGCATATCTTGTTTATTTCATATGGCGGTACCCTGCGCTTCGAAGAAAATGGTATCGGGTGTTATTTCCTCGGACGGCCGAAAGACAAACGACAAGGACCCATGGTCGAGGCCTCGATTTTTTGGCAGTGAAACGTCGACTGCCGAACGAACGTGTCGTATAAACGATTATCTGCAAACGCGTCTCAGTCATCTTTCGTAATATCCACAAATGTTTCGGATTATCAGTGATTAATTAAGTGATCAGTGTTTGGTGACAGTGCAGTGAAAGATCAGCTGTACGTTGTACGAGGTCAGTGCCCTTCGACATCGTGAATTTCAGCCAGCAAATGCATTCTCAACTAAATGGGTGAGTTTCTTACTGATAATATGTTTCATATCTCTCTAATAAACAAATCCTTTACGTCCCTTAACTCGATTATTTATTATTAAATCAGCTTTGCAAATCATTCGTTAATCTTCACTGTACACCTTGCATAAAAATTTCATATGGTACACACGAGGTGTCATGCACACCAGAAAATTAAAACGGCTGTCACGGTTAAACTACATATTATTTCGGGTCCGAAAAATTAGTAAATATTCTTCAGACGTTCTAAAGTAAAGGTGAACAGCGTTTTTCTTAAAAATATCACTGTTA